CCAAAACACGAATTATGTTTATTTTCAGTTCATAACATTAGTGGTATTGGTCGGCAACTGGACAACTATCGGTCAGTTGCACCGGTCAGTCAGCCAGTTCCAACGATGAAAGAATTTTCATGATCAAAATATTACCCTCTACAAGCAAACAAAGTAAGATGAGTGATACAAAAACGAAAATTTTGAACTAACATTCTAACATTAAACACAACCAGATAAATGACGGCTAAAACAATTTTATTATACACAAAAAATATAAATAACTAGGTAATAAAGGTAGCAATAAAAAGTCTTTGCGTCATATATTAGTATTCAAATTATTATTCTACCCGAATATTTACATATTTTGTTTTCCATACTGCAAGATATTTATTACTATTTTATTTATATGTAAATCTCACTATAATTGCCTGAAGATATAATTTATTAGTTTATAATAAATTTTAATAAATTTTATTTAACTTAATTATTATTATTTTTTTAATTTAACAAGAAATTGCATAGATAATAGGCATTAAGTTGCGGAATTGAGGCTCGCTACCTCACGACTATGTAGAAAGCGTACAAAGGTATGACGTCCTTTAATATTTCAACTTAATATATCGCCGTAATTTATTAATTACGCAAAAAAATAAAAATACTTGTTTAATATACTTTAATAATCTATTCGACGAAAATACGAATTAATCTTTGTCATCATCCCTATAATGTTAAGAAAATAATAAATATTTTTAAGCGTACCATTGATTATGGAGTATAGAACTATAGATTTAGATAACTGTCACTAGTAACCTATATATACACATAAAATACCTATTTTGGTTAATAATACAATAAACATGTTGGTAATGACGTGTAACGTCGGGTGGTTAAGTAGTCGGCCTCGGAACCAATCACATAATACCTTTCTACAAAAAAATCGCCTTTATGAAGGTCAACAGATGGTCAATTTAGTTAAATTTAAAACAGTTATAAGTATGGCTTTTAGCTATTGCAGTTGAAAGTGGCTTGATACTCATGAATGTTTTAATGTGATGACGGTCGATTTTATGGAATTTTATAATGCTTAAGTGACGTTATTACCTACTGAGTTCTTGCCGATGTTCTTGTAAGTTCTTTTCAATAAAAAAATAACTCTAGTTGTGGCGTAAATTTCAACTAATCACAATTGAATAAAAAAATAATAATTAGAATATTGATTTTTAATACCATTTTCTAAACGTTTATTGCTATAAAGCTGTTCTCGATTTTTTTCTATACTTCCTTAATTGCCTACCACTTCCAAATTGGGTTCAATCCTATGCCCTTGACTTGCTAACTTATTAGTTTCGCTATTAATTAGCGTATTTTATTTTATACTCGCTTTTGTTAGCGAGTAGAGAGTAGTAGTAGAGTTACTTTTGATAACAACTTCAAAGACATTTATGGTACATACATTAATATTTATTGTTTATTTATGTTTTATCAAGTACCTGAATACAAAACTGCATTAAAATCGATTTAGAGATTAAGGCGTAATAGAAAGATAGACTCATTTATTAACTAATATGTGTTTTAAACCATAATTTTTGATGAAAAATGCTTAAAAAATCCACTTTGTCTCTGGCACTCTGATATGGGACTCGAGCCTACGCAAATTTTTTAATTTGCATTCACAATAGACATGTGTGGTTATTTGATGTATGGATTGAGTTAAAGATTGTGTTCTGTCTATTATTACGAGTATATTTCATAAATATCGCATTTGCAAAATATTTGATAAAGAATCTACATTTTTTAAATAATTTTTATAAATATCGTTATGAGTAGTGAGTGTTGTTTTTTTTTTCAAAAATATTTTAATAATTTCTAAAGGAAAACGTATTATGTGTTGCTGTCCTGTGTTTATTCATACAATTAGACTGAAACAATTATTTTTCTGTCACGTAACAACGCAATATACAAATTTAAATGTAAAAAAATCATAAAAATACACAATTATGTACACAAAAATATGTTTCTGCCTTGAACTTCCAAAAGTACCTATCTAATCACTTATAGGTACACTTATGATAAGCTTAATGGAATATCGTGATTCGAACTTTTAAAACAATTTTATCACACTATTACTATCGCTATCTCCATCTGAACTTTCGGGGAATACCCGATGATAAATTTATCTGTGCCATCTATTCCTACGTGATCGGTTTTCAGACAACAAAGAATGATTACACAACAAAGTGGACTCACAATAAGCATGACTCTTTACATTTTAACCGTTTTATTTTTCTTCACTGGTAAAGGTTTAAATCCAGAAGTTCCTAATGTTTCTCTTATTTTCATTTCATTCGATATTCTAGAAAGTACCTTTAGTGCTGATGTAAAGTATTTATTTGACTTGTGTTGTGTCGCGACAAACACATATCTTTTCATTTTATGAAAGAACATGTGACAGACACAACAATGAGACAACAAGACAATTTTTAATGTGTATCTAATATTTTTTGTATTCATTACCCTAAGATTGCTGTCGCTACAATTTACAGCATACACAAAAAAGTTTCAATTAACAAACTCAAAAAAATATGAGTAAAAGTAAGAATTTTTACTAATATTAATTTTTATTTTATTATTTATATCGTAATATCATTAAATAAACCCAAAACTAACATTTTCAAAACCATAATTTTAAAATAAATATCCTTCAATTAATACAATTTTCTTTAATATTAAACACATTTTACATAAAACTTATGTGGTAAAATCTATTAATCATATAACAGTCATTTATCTAAGCCCACATTATGTAATAATATTTATAATTAAAATACTAGTATCTGATGTGGGTTTCATAAGAAAACTATAGACACAGGTAACTAGGTCCCTGTTACAGATACCCAAAAAAATTGAATAGATTTTTCCTTTTACGTAGTATTTGAAGAAATCTTAATAACAGACACAAAAGAAAAATGAAATATGATTAAAAAAGTATTCCCAGACTAATCTAAAAATCGGAAGTATAATTCCAATAATACTTAAGTAACGGATTCTATGAGACAGTGTGAGTGTTTGTGAGTGTGTTCTTGTACACATAAGAGTGATACGCATATATTTCATGGAGTATGTAATGTGGATATGCAATCAGAGAAATATTAGTCGTTTCAATCATAAGTAGAACGATATTTTAAATAACTATTTTTAAACCGATTTAAAAAATTTTACATAAGTGTTGATAGCTATGAGTGAAAGAAATGTTTAAGTTATAATGAGTTGAATGTGAATAAAATACTGTTTTGTAATTATAATGACTACACTTATTCATTAATTCGGCTTAGCTTTTAGGTTATAGAAACCAGAAGATTCAGAACTCAGTGTTTCATAATTTATTTTTGAGATATTCTTAACAGTTAATTTGCGGCATGATCTGGGTAATGGAAGGAACTTTATTATTTTTTTTTTACATACGTAACCACCAACGAAAACAAAAAAAAACTGTAAGATGTAATAATACTAAAATTTCGAGTAATGCAGACTGCCCTTTCTGCATTTGTGCTTTGTAATTTCAGGGATATTGTTTTAGAATAATCTGTAGTATAAATTAATGCCTTACCGAAAGTTTGTAACGTTTGTATAAATCAGCAGTATTGTTATAGTTATATAAAAGTGTTATTTTAAACGAAACTATGATAAAAGTCGTTATAGCAAACTATATATTACTAACGTTATATGAAATTATATAAAAATATGCTACAACAAATGAAGCGCACCCGGAAAATATTTTATCGGTGCATATGTTTTTTCCTTTGATTAAGTATGATTTATAAAACACATTTACAAAGATTTTTTATTTTCATTTTTAAATTGCTAGTTTAATTTTTATAAACAAGTATTTTCAAGTATCTTTTAATAGTAAAGAACAAACTGTAAGTGTTCATATTAATAATATGTTCAATGAAAAATTCTTTACAAAATTCACCAGTCCATTTAAGTATCTGCGACGGGTAATTTTCTAAACATTTTTCATTAAAGAACATTTTTTTTATCCTATATTAACAAGACAATGAAAAGAAGGAAAAATGATGTGAATATTAATTACTGTAGATGACAAAATTTAAAATTTAGTTTATTAGCTGCATTTTTTTCCTGTATCAAAATGTACCTTTATACATGGTTTAAGTTCAAGGTGACTAATTTATATAATCAGTTAAGATAACTCCTCGATAGACAAAATTAAAGATATAGCGATCAATAACTAATAAGATAACAAATTATTATCACACCGTGTATTATGTTGTATAATTTTACGTTACGGTTCATATAAAAAAATAATAAAACGAGTAAAAACTATATTTTTATAAAACGTAAAAATAGATTTTAAAAAATTGGATCAAAATTCCTATAATAAATAATTTTAATTAAAATATTTTATATTACGTCTTTTAATAAAAAAAATATATTCAGAAGTAAGAAATACGAGTATAAGAAAAGTGGATTATTTTTTTTTTTATTCATACGACGACGTTGAAATACAGAAACAAAACAATATTATCTTTTATTTTAAAATTAATTATTATTATTGCAGAACTGAGTTGAAGTGATTCTATTCAAATGCAAATTATTTATTTACAGGAAATAGAGTATATAAATATGTTGAGTATATACTTCTGGTTCCTTTATTTTTCGGATTACGGGCATGGGGTTTTGGGGTGGATTGCCTGAACATTGATGAAAATGCGCTCTGTAGTAGTGAAAAAGTATCAAGTGCTTGGAAAATTCGTCAGTCCTGTTAGATTCGAGTTTTATCCCAAGGCGCCAGGGAGAAAATGGATTTTTAAGCATATTTCATTAAAAATATTTTTCAGTATAGCATTGTGAATGGGAAATTGATCAAATATAATAATTCTTCATATTTACTGTAACGTATCAGTATCAGTAGAAGTACTTTTCTTATATTATTCCAAAACGGTTGTTTATTAGGTTTTCAAGATACAATAAATTAATTGGATAAAGTCATACTCAAAGATAACGATGTAGGTACAATGTGTAAAATAATACTCATTGAAGCGATACTCAATTTTAGACTTTTAAGTTGAGACAATCTTTCGTGGCGTGCACTTCAATTGAGTTTTTTTATTTTGTTTTCAGTGTAATTTGGTGAAGATGTATTTCCTACTGACGATTTCATTTTTGAAATTTGTGGGTGTAACGTTTGCTGCGCCACCATTGGTTGGTAAGTAGCATTTATTTCGTTATAATATTCTTTTACTTTTAATGTTCGATTGCTGGGGACCATGTATTCCTCATTCATAAAATTATCGACAGCATAACATATATTACTCAGGAGAGAACCCTTTAACTTTAAAAACTTTTTATTTACTTTATAAAAAATATGCTTAATTCCTTTATAAAATTGATGTCGTTTTGTTATTTACATACCTATTTAATAAAAGGTTTTGGTTCCTGTAGTTTTCTGAGTGCTTCATGAGGCTGATGTTTTTATACTACGGTATTTTCACAGTGTATGATTTTTTTTCTTTTATATCAATTACTTATTTTGAAGCATGTCCATCCCATCCCATTATAACCTATAATGTGTATGAAAAGATTTGTGAAGGTCATTTTTATTCTGTAAGTAAGTATTGTATACTGATTTGGGCGCCCCCCTGTTTTGACGTTAGCGCCCGAGGCAAGTGCCCTAGATCAGGGCCTGAATCAAAACCGTATTGAAATCTAATGGCTAGAGTTATAGCTATAGAAAATGGAAAAGTTTTACCAGCCCTGGCTTCTACGGCCTTCAGTCGTATCTAGTCAGTCGCACCCCAGATTATTTTAAAACGAACGAATAAAGGTCTTGTACATAATATTAAACTCTGGGACAAAAAACAGCGTACAAGCCACTCGACCACGGAGGTTAATAAATAATGGATGCATATGCATACTTTCGGCCAATCAAAATGATTCAAGTATTACGCCATTGGTCGATCCTCATAGCCCCACTGAATGTGAGTGAGATGAATACCTAAAGCGTTGTATTTTCCACTTTATAGTTATTATACGATACCCTACCGTACCCTCTCGTTTGAAGATAGTCCCTAAGATATAAATTATAATTTACGATAAATCTAAATTTGCTCATGGAACTTAAGTAATGTTTTTATTTATCTTCTCAGAATATCCGTCCAAAAACGAAGTAACGCCATATAATTTCCCCTTCGTGACCCGTTCGCAATGGAACGCGAGAGCACCTAAGCAAATGCTACCATTGACAACGCCAGTACCATACGTGGTCATTCATCACTCGTACACACCTGGAGCCTGTGCAACTAGACCCGAATGTATAAAGGCTATGCAAAGCATGCAGAACTTCCATATGGATGATAGAGATTGGTGGGATATCGGATACAAGTAAGCTTTGTTTATATAATTTTCATTATTGTCTCTTTCTTACTTGAGTAGTTGTAGAAACGCTCTTCAATATTTTAAAGTAACTTTAATAACTCTTGTGTTGTTGAAATGTAAAATGAAGAGCAGAAATTCCGGGTCAATTTAAAAAAAATTTGCTAAGGATGTGAGAAAAAAAGAATTCTCACTACATTATTTATATTCTTTTGTCTACAACGATTTAGTGGTTTTTTGATTTTAATGGGCTATGATCGATATTTTGGAAGAAATTTACAATGATTTTTGTAAGTAAGCCGAAATTATTTGGTTCTCTTGGAGTTGAAGTGCAAATGCTCTCTGCCTTAGGACTATTAATACATATGATGGAATGAGTTAATAATTAAATCGATCCTTTTTGAATAGAGATTTCAAATGATATTTTTTAATCTTATTGACTATTTTTGCTTTAAACTTCATAAGGTTACCCCTAGTTTGATAGAAGTCCACTAAACGCTTTTTATATTTTTCTAGTTACGCCGTTGGTGGTGACGGGGCTGCATATGAGGGCCGTGGCTGGGACTCATTAGGTGCTCATGCACTGCATTTCAACAGTATCAGCATAGGAATCTGTGTCATCGGCGATTGGAGATGTAAGTATTGATCGATCAACTGACGAGCTTGATGACGCAGTGGTTGGCACGTTCGGTATACGCTGCGGAGGTTATGCGACTTACACAAGGGATAGCCACATGATGGGTGATCAAAAATTATTAACTCGAGCTATTTCGTGTTTCGGAAGATAAGTAACGCCGCTGGACCTGGTTTTGTCTGCAGACGTAGACGCTCCGCGCTGGGCCTGCGTGGTAGATTCTTCCTATTCGAAACCATATATAGGGGAGGCCTCAGCTGTCCAACAGGTTATAAACGGGCCCCTACTGCCACTAAGACCGCAGTGCGCAGTCGGCAGTCTCACTGCTTAATTTTTTTCACGAACCGTAATAGCAGTGATAGCACGACGTAGACAGTTAAAATTTTCACAAATGTTAATAACAGAACAAACTAAATATTAAGGGTCCATAAAACTAACATGTTTTATGAATATGGTACGGAACCATTCATACGCGAGTCTGACCTTTTATCACATAAATGTCAAAATAGCATTGTGGCGTTATCAAATATAATATTTAGAGCTGTTATTTCCATTGATTAATTATATTTCAGTTCAATTGCCGCCAGCGCAGCAGCTCAAAACGGTACAATCTCTCATTGCTGCAGGAGTGAAACTCGGTCGGATAAGTTCCGAGTACAAACTAATAGGCCATAGACAAGTAAGAGATACTGAGTGTCCGGGAGACGCTCTATTCAACGAAATTAAGAAATGGGATAAATATGCTGACTATCCTAGCTGTCGAGATGATTTGTTGTCTATGCCGGAAGTACCTGAAAAAACTAAAGACGTTATCCGTGGGAATAGCACTTACGACTTTTAAGTTACAAACAAATATTTATTTCAAATCAAAGCAGAATATAAATGAGTCGGAGTTACCATTTAGGAACAAATATGTATCAGGAGATGTCTTGTTAAAACAGTGATTGACATTTGCAGAACCATTGCATTTATGTCCAAACGTTTATTTTACTAAGGATACGACGCTGACAAACGAAGCTTAGAATATAATTTTAAATCATCATTATATTTTTCCAATCACTGTTTAAAACAAAACATGTAAGCAGCTTTAGTTTATTTAGTACTCAAAGAAAATGACAGAAATAAAATATACCAAACAAATCCTCGCTATGAGAACATAGATACCACCTAAGAGGCAGAAAAACGTAGATAACATGTCTGAGTCAAAAGAGTCAATGCAGTTACTATTAATTTAAGCGTAAAACAGTTAATCTAAACTAGTTATGAGTATAGTCACTAATTACAAAAATGCTCACTTAAATAATCTCTATTGAGTATTCAAGATATAACTTCTTAGGAGACTTTTTGAGAATCTTGGTATCAAACACAACATCGTCTGTCCTCAAAGTATTTTTGACTGTTTCCTAAATATTGATTGCAATCAATTATTATATTATATAGTATATTAAGCTGGGTACTCACTAGCTAGTTATAACTGTAATCCTGGCGCGTTACTTTTACCAAAAATCATCACGTGGTTCACACATGAGATTCATACACATGCGTATAGATACACTAAAACTTGATTTTCTTAAAAGAAAAAATAAAAAGCAATTAATTAAATTCACACACTGAAAATAAATATACTTAAAACTTTTTACTCTTTAAAAGTGATTGTTTCAATCTTTCAAACGCAGCCTCATGCATCGTATACGTAAAATGGAATAAGGCTAAAATCGTAAATTTAACGGTGACGTCTATTTTATTATTGAATAGTTGATACCACTCATTTCGGGTTTGCAAACAAAAGATAATCAATATCATATGACCATTGAAATAATATAAGTACCTAAACGAGTGTTCGACATGAGAGTAATGATTAATAAATAATAGAGCTCTTAAAATAGAGTTCGGCTGCAATGCAGTTAGCTCGCCGATGAGTACCCAGTTTTAGTGGATAAGAAAACTCAGCTTTATTACAGACGGTTAAATCTCAACCGGCATGTGCAATATTAGTTTTTAAGTGGTATACAATATTTATATTTTATTTTTTAATATTATCGTTACAACTTAAGTGTCAATGAGTATTATTTATATTTATAATCTGTAACTTAAGCGACTTATAGACGTGGCAAAATTTAATACTTATTTTATAGACTAGATTTTGATGTCACAAATCTAATTTGATATTATCAAAGTCTTAAATAAAAATGTACGCAAGAAAGTTGAATTTGTATAAACCGGTAAAATGTATCAGCGTGGTAGAAAATGCATTGACAATTTAATGTATTTTTTCTTGCCCTTGTCCAAACTTCTTCAATAAATATATTTAATTTAGCCATGTGTACAAGCTGCTTTAGGATAAAAGAACATGACGTGAATTAATAGAACGGCAGTGTATATTTTTTACAAAGTTTTTAACTGGAGACTATTGTATTCATAAACGAACAGCTTTTCTTATCGAATAATATTTGTTTATGATGATAAAACGAGTTATAACAATAATTTAATGCCGAAAATGTATGAATGCATAATAGGAACCATAAAATACTGTAATATTGGACCAACAGTGGCGTTGACATATTGTTTGAGTTCCATTGCAATGATCAACAAAATTTTGGTAAACTTTCGTCCTAAATAATTGTCGATCAAATCAAGTCGTCGCGTCAAAACGCACCGATTCGACCCAAGCCAACTCGTCAGTTTCAACTCGACTCGGCGCGCTTCTGGTCGAATCGAACTTCAAGCTTCTAGCTTTACTGACCTCTCTAACTGAGAGGCCTCTTCCAGTTGAGGGCTCACAGAGTTTTGCCCATCTTGCCTTACTGTAACGCCAATGTAAACAACTCACAAAATGCGAATAGAGCCATCTATGAATGAATATCCAAACAAACTTACAAATTAACATACAATTATTCATGTTGAAATTGTTGACATCTCATTATCGACCTGGAATTCAATGATAAAATGAATAAATTTTTTATACAATCATGTATTGTTTTTTATTTACTAACCCATTTTAATACGAGAAACATATTTTAAATAACTCTCTTTACAGAACTTCCTATCTTTCTTGTTCGTTTGCTTTATATTGGCTCGATTTTAGATTTTCTTTTACCTAGGAGAAGCTTCATCTCCAAAAAATACATCATAAGCTATAGTTTACGCTTAAAAATCCCAGATATAAAAAAAAAATCACAGAGGATTGGCAAGTCAACAAAATCGACCTCGCTCGCACTTCGACCCGATTTACAAGGTATATCTTTTAAGATCGGGTCGAGCCTGATCACGAAACAGATTTGGCATTTGAAAAAGGCTGGGTACACATAAATTGGTGATTTGGGTACCTCACGAGCTCACTGAAAGAAACCTTATGCACCGTGTACTTATTTGTGATTCTTTATTACGGCGTAATGAAACCGAACCATTTTTGAATAATGAGCTCATATCTAGTGATGACAAGTGGATCAAATACAATAAGAACGTGCAAAAAACGTTGTGGTCAAAGGTTAGTCAGGTTTATAGTCTGTGGCGAAACCCGTGTTAACTCGCAACAAGGTGATCCTGTGTGTATGGTGGGATTGGAAGGGCATTATTCATTATGAGCTGTTACCGCCAGGCAAAACCATCGAGTTTGAATTCTACTGCGAACAACTGATGAGATAAAAGCAAGAATTTGAGAGAATTAATCAATAGAAAGGGTGTATTTTTCATTATGATATTGTTAGACCACACACCTTATGCCACTCGGCAAAAATTAAAAGAGTTTGGCTGGGAGGTGTTAATATATCCGCCGTATAGCCCTGACCTTGCACCTTCAGATTTCCACCTGTTTCGGTCTCTTCAGAATTCTTTAGGCAGTATCAAATTTACATCACGCGAGGACTACCAAAACCAGTAGTCGCGGTTTTTTGATCAGAAGCCCCAAATTTTCTATAGCAATGGGATCATGTCCCTACCTGTAGGGATACATAGTATTCTGGATACATAAATCATCCAAAACTTTTTACGATGTATAACTTACGTACTATTATCATAGTAGAAAAATAAGAAGATCAGTCGGCTTCGATTCCCGACAAGGTCGATCCAAAAACGAAATATTTCAAACTATCTCCGGTTCTTGTATTACATATTACGAAAATAGCTTAACGCTTTAAGCATTCTGTACTAGTCAGCCAATAAAGTTGATTGGTTGTTAAGGAATAAGAATAATAGTGACTAAATGAGTAATTATTGTAACGCAACACAAAAATACATAGAGATGTATAACCAAACACATACATAATAATATAATATATTACTTTGTTGATGGATAGCTGAAAGCCGATTATATTATTTTAAGAGTGTTATAACTAATGGCCTTGTCAATATACATACATATAATAAACGTAATCTATACAATTAAGTGTGTAATCTAAGTTATTAAAAATAAAATTTATCTCAAAAACACATTTTAAAATACAGTCACGCTAATAACATAAGATAACATTTAATTAATAATTTTAATGCATGGATTATGTATCGATAAAAAAATATTATGTAGTAATCGAGCCACCTGTAAATATATTTCAAAGTTATCCCGAGTCATTCTTATAAATAAGGCTGAGCCCGCACTTCGTCTAAATATGTATGTAGTAATAAATAAGCAGTAAGAAATAGCTGAATGACTGCTATAGTCTTGAAATTCCATGATGATCGGTATATTTAGTTTGAACAGAGGATGATCTTCCGAAGCAAGTCTGGTGTAACCTCAATCGAATATGCACAGCCCATAGCCACTCACATAGTGATGACAACTGATTATTAAAAAAAAATCTTTTTAGTCTGCCAGTCAGATAATATAAAAATATTAGATACGTATTTTTTTACTTCAATTTAACAAGAAGTAACTTAGATAACATTAAAGGCATTGAAGTTGAGGCGTGGGGGCTCGCTACGTCACAGTTTTGTAGAAAATGCACTAATGCGTGACGTCACTCGACATTTTAACTCAATCTATCGCCGTATTTGAATGATTAAGAAAAAAAAATACGTGTTTAATATTTTTCAACAATGTACCTAACTAAATACTGGTATTGTTATCTAAATCCAATCTAAACAAACAAAAATTTGCCGTCATCCCGATTCTGCAAATGTTTTAATAACAATAGCTCTGTGGCGTAGTGGATAAGCGCCGTGGCCCGCGATCGTTGTCGTTAAGCAACCTTCGCAAGGGTCGGTCACGGGATGGGTGACCAAAAAAAATTATCTCGAGCTACTCCGTGCTTCGTTGGTCCCGTCTGCATTTGCAGTCGTTAATACCCTTCAATCCGCATTGGGCCAGCGTGGAGGGTCACGGCCCATCCTCCTTAACCATCCATAAGGAAGGCCTGAGCCCCTGCAGTGGGGACGTAAGAGGGGTGATGATGATGATCGCAATAGAATGTCAGAATTGCGTTTTGCCATTATCCAGTTGCTTAACCTGCGTAGTCCATTCTCCATTGGTGGGTGTTAATATACCTACTGACCAAAATCATGCTAACTGCGATCTTACAGCATTGTATCCTTGCGAAGCCATAGTTTAAAATAAATGAAACAAAGGTAAATAAGAACATATTTTAATGAGAAGATGACTTTTATGACAAAAATAATTGCTTACTATAAGTACATCGTTTATATTTATGTCACTATAAGTACAAGCAATTAGTTTACATGGTCTTTTTAATTATTTTGGCATACAAAAGTACCTAAACACAATTAAATTTATGTAAGGTAGTCCCGACTAAGGAGGTCGACTATTTTTGGAAGCTGAAACGCTTAAAAACAACTAATTTTAATGTCAATTAGAGTTCTGTGTTCTTATCAGTCAGTCGACCAGAGCAATACTATTATATGTAGAGTACAGGGGAGCGATCTCGCTATAACTCTAGTCATAATTATAAGAACGTTCTATTGATTCCATTACTGAATTTGTTAATATTCTCATTTTATCATTTACATATTCAATTAATGCTCTTTTTTTTACTTTGCTGAATTATTAAACTTAGACTACAAAATGTCGAATTTTGACAAACAAAGCTATTACAAAAATAAATATTAACCAAAAAGTTGATGAACTATATAAATAATCAAAACATTTTATATTTAATCAACATAATATCAACTGATTAAAACACTTAAACGTTTTTATAGCTTTAGATGTAATTAGTGCAGGCTAGAGATATAAGCGCGGTCGCTCTGCTCTCTGTCACAGTACAGAACTTCAATGCATTTAAAACCTTATTACCTTTTGAGTAGTAATTTTTATTTGAGTAAGCCTCTATGCTGTATATACCTAGTTCGAGGCTATTTTTATTACAAATCAACACTGCGTAACTGCAAACGAAACATGACCAAGTTGCTTTTCAGCAGTTTAATTTTCAAAACATTTTCTTGCCGCTTTTTAGTTTACACTTGGGTTATTTCAACCTTCTTATACGTCAATACTTTACATGA